TGGTCGGTTTGTGTCTGCGCCGGCTTCAACGAGGAAGTTGATCATCTGCAGGTTGTAACTTTCGCAGGCTGCCGTCAGAGGACTCATGGCGAAGTGCTTCCCGTCTACATTGGCGTGGGCCGCGGTGAGTGCCTGGGCGATGTAGGGGTTGTCAAAATTGGTGTAGGCGGCGATGCACAAAGGGCTGCATGGTGCGTAGTTGCTGTCGTGGCTGATTGCGATGTTGGGGTCCACTAGGTCTTCTAGCAGGCTGCAGACTTGTCGGTGATTCTCCATCTGAATGGCAAGGGATAGTTCGGGTGCTCCTCCGTCTCGAAAATGTCGGACGACTGCCAGTAGTTCGTAGCTGCTGTGTTGGGCAGTGAGGTGTTCGCAGTCGGCCCAGGTCATTTTCGGATTTAGTTCAGCTTGTCCTTCAGCGAAGTGAATGCTGATGCGGTTGGCGGGCACGTCTAGGCGCATGCCTACGGTGAGCGCCAGGTCGTCAAGGACGATCCCGTCTTTGTGGCTGCGGGCTGAGGGATCGATGGTGCAGATCACTTGACCGCTGCAGCCGCGGACGTGCAGCATGATCGGCTGGTGCATGTCGCTTGGCGGGCTACCAGCAAAGTATTTTGAGCCAGGGCTACAGTTACAGTTATCGGAGTGCAACAGGACGGAGTTTGCCATTGCTTCTTGTGCTGCCGGAAGGGCGGTTTGTGTGTATTGTGCATATGCTGGACGGAGTAAGTAAGTACACCAGCGAGGCTCGGGGGCTTTCTTGTGTGTGGTCTGTTCTTGGGATCAGTGTGCACTATGTGATTTGCCAGTTCCCGCTGCCCCCTTTTTTGCTGCCGTCAATCTGATTTGCTGTCGCTCGTCGAGGCTAGGTGTAGGCGGCTTTGACAGGTTGAGGTCGAGGTTGAGCCAGGTTGTCGAGCAGGTGAGCAAATTGGCTTCTTTCGGGTTGAGGACGATATCCTGGCACCTTACTTCAAGAAGCCGCTGGCATTGTTTGCTGGTTGAGGAGCCGATCGGCGAACCAAGCACCTCGCAGCAGTGGCTGGCATGAAGGAGGGGTGGGTCGGGATGGGGGGGGGGGGGGGGGACGAGCATGCACAAATCTGGCGGTTGCACCTCTTTGCTCCCAGGACAAGCAGACGTATCGATTCTGGTTGAGGACATGCCTGCTGTCGCGGCTTGGCTATTTAGTTGTGCGTGGGTATGCTTCCGAGCCAGAAAATGTGCTAGCGGGTTCGATGTTTTTGAGTGCTTATTGAAGTGGGTTTCTCGGTATGGGAGGCACGTGCAGGGCTCGGCTGGTCTTTTTCGTTGTCGGAGCAGGCCCATTCAGCAATGGTCGGTGGCATTAGCCGGTGGATGCGACCGTCCAGCTTTCGCTTCGTCTGGGTTCAGTTCAATTATACGGGCTCCTGGAGCTCTTCGTGCGGCTGGTCGACACACGGCTTCGGTCCGGCGAGAAACGCTTCACGCATGGCCTGTTTGCCTGCTTGCACGCATGCGCTGAGGAAGATGTTTTTGGCCGCTGATGCAGGAATCCCATCTGGGTGACGTGGTTCTGCGGCCAGCGGGTTGCAGCGTGCTGCTAGTAGCGTTAGCACGATGATGGGCTGGTTTGCCCACGCAGCGACCGCGAGTGGTCTGCGTCGATTGTTGTTCGGGGCCTCGATATCGGCTCTGGCTTGCAGAAGCATGTGCACGATTTGGACGTTGCTCTTGCGTGCTGCGGCGGCGAGGGCCGTAGTGCCGGTGTGGTTGCGTGTTTCCAAGTGACACCGGGCCGCGATCAAGAGCTGGACCGCTGTCTGGTCCTGTCGTTGTGCTGCTCGCAGCAGCAGGCCGTGGTCTTCGTTGGTGTTGGCATTGATTTTGGCTTCCAGCAGGAGCTTTACGTTCTCTAGTTTTCTGCCTCTCGTTGCTGCTTCGAGGGGCGTGGTGGTGGAGAACAGCGTTGCTTGGACACAGTTCGGATTGAGTGGGTGGCTGAGGAGGTCCTCCAGTTTGGTCGGGGTCTGGCTGCGCGCGGCTGCGATGAGTCGTGTTGTGTCGTGCTGGTTGGGCGGGCCGTAGTCGAGTTTCACTAGCTGTAAGTCTGTCGGAGCCTTGACTGTGTCCGCGTCGTGGAGGGGGCCATGTTCTCCGAGTAGTCTTTGCCGAAAGCGTGGCAAGCCCAGTTGGACTTGTAGTTCTCGTTTTATCGTGCTTGCTGCTTTTGGCTCCTCGAGGACAATCTCCAGCAGCTGTTCGCTTGCGAGGTTGAAGATGCGCAGCAACTCCTCGCTTTTGCGTTTCTTTGCAGGCTCGGGCGCGCTGGCTGAGGTCCTTCTGGCCATCGCGTGCAAGCCGTTGATCGTACTTGAGCCAGGGCTAGGCTTGGCTGGGAAGTTCGCTGAGAGTTATAGGGGGGGCGGTCGTGTGCTCGATACATGCGCATGTGGCTAGCCTTGACTTTGCATGTGTCGCCGCACGTGTGTTTCCGCGTCACTTCTTTTTTGACTGATTTTCGTGGCGGGCGAGCGGGGGGCCGTCTTCAACGGTGTCTCACGTGGTCTTGCTTGTCCCGTGCCTTGACTGTTTCGTCGATGAGCTTCGTGGTTTCGTTGTCCATGACTCCGACCTGCTGTATCCAAGGTTCGTGGCCGTTGTCGGGATGCGTCCCCACGATGTACATTTTTGCGATGACTTTGTGGTAATGGTGTTGGAGAATCCATCGATAGACGTTGAGCTGTAGGTGGTAGTGGCAGAGGGTGCTGTCTCCCAGGTGTGCCAGGGGCGGTTTCATGAAGCGGTTGAAATGCTCTCCGCGGCTTGATATTCTGCTGCTTCGCTTCCAGTCCACGAGCACTAGGCTGCCGCTGGCTTGCTGGATGACGAAGTCGATGCTACCGGCTACGTCGATGTCCTCGGCGTAGACTTTCCATTCGGTTCTGTAGGCCGTGCCTTCGTGCAGTTTCCCTAGGAATCGGAAGAGCAGGGCGATCTCTGAGGTCATTTCTCGCACGGACCCTCCGTTCAGCAGGCACTCGAATTGAGCGTGCATCCAGGTTCCTTCTCGGGCCGCGTTGTCACGGGCGGCTTCCCACTTCTGTTTTATCTCGCTGCTCGACATCGCGAAGCTACGCAGTGTGGTGACCTCCTGCGGGCTTGCTTGCTGCGCTGCCGTCCGTATCTGTTGGCACAGCTCTTCTTCGTTGCGGTGGTTTTCCTGAAACATGGCCAGGATGTGGGGGCCCCTGGGCAGTCGGTTGATTGCTTCCATGATGTCTGGCTCGATCTTTTTTTTGAGGTACCCGGGCCGAGGCCAGTGATCTCCTTCGGACATGCGTTTGAGCGTTTCCTCTGGGTCGAACTCTGCGGCGTACCTGTGGATCAGTTGGGTCACCGATTCCCTCACTCGGGTGTCTTTCCAGAAGTAGGTGTGTGTCGCGTGGTCGAAGAGCAGGTGCTTGTCTTGATCGTGGAGGTTGACGTGCTGCAGTCTGTCGTTGACAAAATGTTCTGGTAGACTGGCGGGCAGAGGCTTGTGGTCGCGCGGTGGAAAGTCTGTCGGTAGTTCAGGGCTTCTGGTCAAGCTCAGCGGCAGCAGGTGATCGAGGCCTTCGCTGTACAGGGTGATCTTGTTTTCCTCGTCATCGAGGTCTGCTTGCTGGTCTTTCGTGTTCGTTTCTGCCTGGCTGTGGCATCGGACGTGTGGATCCATGGAAGCTGCGGGGACATGGCGAGCAGAGTGTGGCGCAGGTGGGGTGTTCACTTGTTGTACTTCCTGTTGCTTGGATGGGTTTGCAGTGTACCTGGTTTTTATGCAGAGATGTTTGTGGGATCTCGCTTGTGTTGCTTCTTTAACGCTGTGTGGGTTGTTGCTTCGTTGATGCATTCCACTATGATTATAGATTGTCTTTACTGTTATACCTGTCAGGGCTTTTAGGTGTTTCTTCTGGGGTGCCACTGTTTTCGCCCTTCTGCTCTTCACGTGCTGCGGTCCGCGGCTGCGTGTTGCCGCTTGGCATGGTGCTTGCAGGCTCGGCTACTTTTGACATCAGCACTGCCAGCGGGCTTTCTTTTTTGGTCTGCTCGCACTTTTGATCAGTCGGTCTTTGTGGGTGGAATCTCTGGTTGTCGCCGTCGGTGTTTCTTGTCGAGGATCTGCTGTGCGCTGTGGAGCTGGTGTGTTGGCTGTGTGGACGTGTCCACGAGTCGTGCCTCGGTTGTTCTTTTTTGGCTAGGATCGTCCTTTTCGTGGCGTGTGTTAGTTGCCGGCTCCACAGACTGCAATAGTGGCTCGGCTTGCGGGCAGTATGGTCTCTCGGGCTCGTAGGCTTGTGGACTTGTCAGTACCCATGCATAGAGGATGTGGTAGGGAATGGTGTCCCGGTCGACTTGATGCTTGTGCAGGTATTCTGCTCGAGGTAGGAAGCGCTCGCGGTCCTGCTAGCGTTAGCCGTCCGCGAAGGGCCGCCATTGTTCATCTGTCTAGATGTCCACAAGGAAGCCGTCTACGAAGGTGATTTCTACCCCTAGGAAGCTGGCTTTGCTGACGGCTAGCACGAAGCGCTCTCGCTTCTTTAAGCTGGTGCGTCGAAGCTCCCATGTTTTGTCGTGTTCGAGGATGCGACTGATCCAGGTCAGTTTTATCACGAGTGCTTGGGTTGGCTCGGTTGGCTCTGATCCATGGCTAGGTTGCGAACGAGTTAGGTTTGCTGGTTGCTTGAGCCTGCTTTGTAGGTGGTTGGTGTAGTGGTCCGGTGGCACAGGGGCCGGTGAGAGAGTGTTGGACAGTGAGACGACGTTGTTTCGCGGCTGTAAGCTGTGGGGGTACAAGGTTCGAGCCTGGATCGGCCGGGGCAGTGGTTGTGTTGTTGTAGGAAGCTATGTACATCTCGTACATGCATGAGTCTCGCTGCAGCATGCACGCCTTTTTCGCTGCTTTGATTTTGCGTGTCTGCAGCCTCGTGGGCATCGTGTGGAGGATCCGAGGCCGTGCGGCTGTTCCTGGGGCTTTCCTATAGTCTGTGGAAACGAATGCTTGGCCTCGGTGCGGGGGAAGTGTTCTGCTCCCAGTGTAGGAGGATGGGGACGTAGCACGGGATGCTGCAGGTCGGCGTTGGGTGGCTCTGCGAGGTCCGCGGTCGTGGCCCCTGTGCACCGTCGTTGGTGTCTGGGGTGGTTGACATTATTGGAGGTTGCCACTGGTACACGAGCTCGAACCAGGCTCGACACGGGAAGCGGTGGTAGCGACAGCGTTCTTTGAGGGTGTCTTGCCACCACTTCAGCTGTTCGGGTTGGAGCTCTTGGTGCATGACTGCTTGGACGAACTGCTGCACTTCTTCTTCGAGTGTGCAGGTGTAATCGTAGCCGTGCAGTTGGTGTTCGTATGGACGACCTGCAGCAGAACGGCGGCAGTGATTGCTTGGTTTTTTTTTCCGAGTTTGGCGTCTGGGGTTAGTGCAAAGGTTCCGAGGCCGGGGCTCCACTCTGCCGTGGTTTCCGTCTCGAGGTGAGGCATCGGCGTGGTTCGGCTTGTGAAACTTTTGGGGGCTGCGGCAGCAGAGTTCCTGAGGTGCATGTTGGACATCCGTTGCTACTCGTTGACGCATGCTCTGTGCTGAGATTCTGGCTGCCGAAGGCTTGCTTCCATGTTGTTGGAGCGAGTCTTTTGGCGTGTCGCACGAGCTCCAGCCGGCGAAGGTCCTGTGTCGCGGTTGGCGTGGTGCTCCTGTCGGACCAGTACATTTTTCGTTGTTGGCTTGGTGCTTCTTTCGGTCTTCCTGTTTTCTGGTGGTTCGTGTTGTTTTTGGTCGGCCCTGCTGCCATGTCCTCTGGGTGTTGAGGGACGGGAGTGTCGACGATCATGGCAAGCGCAGCGACAGAAAGGGAGAGAGAGAGAGAGAGAGATAGAGAGAGAGAGAGAGAGAGTAAGAGCAGCCGGCAGTGTGCCTGCTCCGAGTGGCTGCTGTCCTGAGTGTCGGGCAGGTTGCAAATCTTTGTTTCGGCTACTGGCGCTTGTGCCTCGACATCTGCCCACGGCGTTCTTCGCGGCATTGTGCGTGTGTGGGTCTCCTGGCGAGCCATGCTCGCGGTGCTTCCGCTTGTTATGCTCCTGCGTTTGATGCAGGTTCGCATCCGTCTTTTGCCGAAACGGCTGCGCATGTGGCCGTTCTTCTGGAGTCTGTTCGTTCTTCGTGCGACCGAGTGGCATGCTGCTATCCCACATGTCATGAGCTGCAAGTGTTATTTTTTTGCAAGAGGTCTGGTCGCGTGGGTTGAGACGGCAGTGCATCGCTTGCTTTGTACAGTCATTTCTTGGCTTCACTTTCACCTTCGCTTCACGTGAGCGGAAGTGTTGGTATGGCAGACCGGCGTTTCTTTCTTGTCTGCTTTTTGCGGCTTCCAGCTCCGTGCGTTTCTTCATCTTTGTCGTCGTCTTCTGGAAGCTGTCCATCTTCTGTCTCTTTTGCGGAGTTGCCGGCTTCTTGCTGATCCCTCAGGGCCGGCATGGTCGCTGTTCGCTTTGAGGCTGTTCTGCGCGGGATCTTGTCGTCCGGTGCCGTTTTGAAGAAAGTCCAGAGTTCCGATGCTGGCTTTTGGTAGTACTCCGTTGGCTGGGTTCGTTGGACGATGTTCGCTAGCAGCAAGCCGTACAGTTTGCTGCCGCTGCTCATTGTGCTCAAGTGCCGGTGCTGCGCTCTTGTCTTTTCGAACTCCTCCTGCGTCATCTCTCTGCATTCCGTAATTTCAGCAGAAGCATAGATCTTGCCTCCGTGACCGATCCAGATTGGGCCGGCTTGTGCTGGGCGATTCCGTATTTCCATGGTCTTGGCACCGCTGAGAATCAGGGCTAGCCAAGCTTCTTTGGTGACCATAATTCGTTCTCCTAGCTTTGGCGCAGGGGTGAGGCACCTGTCGTCCTCGCTAGCACGTGTGGCTTCGTCGACTTCTTCCTGTTCTGTTGCCTGGGCTGCAGTGAGGTGGCGCTCTCTGTGTGTCTGTGTGTGTGTCTCTGTTTGGGTCTGATTGTTGTAAAATTTTATTTGTTACTGGTGCTGGGACTGTGGCCACGGCCCAGGCGTCGAGTTCTTCGCTGTGCTCGTTGGGTTGGCGATCTCCGTGTATGACTTTCGTGTTGGCTGGCCCCGTCTCTGGACCAGTGGTAATAGTCGTTTCTCTTGTTGCGGCTGCTTCCTCCTTAGTTGGAGTGCTGGTGCTGTATTACCATTGCTGCCAAGGAACTGTGCACGCAAGAGGTAGTTGCAAGAGAAATGCTAAGGCGCCCGTGCTTCTGATGGTGTAGACGCCATGGCTCTGCGGTGAGACGTCACTGGATCGCTGTTTTATGGCTGCGGGCAGTTGTCAGTTTGAGTTTGCGGTGGAGTTTGTGTTTGTTTGGCCGACATAGTCGCAGTAGAGGGGCCGGGTGGAGATTGGGGGGGGGGGGGTGCGGGAGGGTGTCCGGATCTCGCATGGATCTGCTGCAGCGTATCCTTTTTGTTTGGCCTGCGCTCGCTCGTTGGTGGACTGTGTCTTGGCTTCTCACTTCTTTTGACCGCATTCCTACTCGTCGGGCAGGTTATGTCAGATTTGAGATGCGTCTGATGGTGTTCCGCATGTCACTCTCGCAGGCCTCCAGCAGAAGGATGCGGGCTTTCCGGAGTTGTAGCCGGCTTGCAGGAGTGGCGAAGGTTTTGCTTAGGGAGATCATGCGGGCTGGATGCACTGCGTGGTGGGCGGCGCTCTGGATCATGCGCGTCCTTGACGCTTGCGTGTAGTGCGCAGGGGAGCCGGTGGTTGTCCAGCTCTGCCACCATTCTCGGCTGGATTGATACCAGAGTTCTGCTTGTATCCGTTGCTGTAACTCCGCTTCGAGGTGCGAGTATTGGGTGATGTGGAGAGCTTGATCTCGCAGGCTGTTGTTGGAGATTGGCACATGCTCGCCTCGGCATTTTCGTTTTGTCAAGCTGTTTGGGCATGTGAATGAAATGCTGTCGGGTTGCTGAGTTTCTTGGCATCGACGGCGCCGTCGTGTTCCACGAGCTGCCTTTCCGGGACTACCTTGGGTCGATTGAGTTTGTAGTAGCACGTGAACCGTCCGTGGCTTCGCTAGTGGTGGTGTCGACATTAAGCATGTGGCAGCGGTCAGGGAGGAAGTTCTCGCGTGTGTTCTGTCCTTAGTTTGCCGGGCTTCGGTGTCTTTGGGGCTTTTGTCGAGGAATCAGCTGTGGTGCTGTCGCTGCTTTCGTCGTTTGCATGGCTGGTGAGACTCTGCGAAGCATGCCGGTC